AGGGGACCCTTTGGTAATTTTTCGTTCTTCAACTGGTACTTTTTTAATTTTCTATAATATTGAACTTAGGAACATGAAATTAAATAAAAGAGGTCTTTTGTTACTTTTTCGTACTTCATTGGTACTTTTTGAGTTTTCTAAAATATTGAATATATAAACATAAATTTAAATAGGGGACTTTTTGATATTGCAGATATATATATACATTTACAATAATATTTATTTTATTTCATTACGATGAGGGTAGCGAAGCACACTGGGTATAGCTAGTATTTTATAAAATTGTATATAATATAAGTTCAGTTTATAGGTGGCTGCAAGTGGAAGTAAATAATTTCTAATACAATTATTCCGATAAATCTAATAGCAATTATAAAATGGAAAATAATTCGAATTCGACAAAATATACTGGCAAATATGATAATCAAATAAAACTACGAAAAGCTAAATTAGAAAAAATGCGTAAAGAAAGACAAATATTACAGTATGATAAGTTGATGCGTGAAATGTCAGTTCAGGAAAATTTGGAAGAAAATCGTTTAAAAAAAGAAACACGCGAAAAAGCTAAAGAAATAAATAATTTGTAGGTTTATTATTAAAACCTCTAAAATATTTTGTATAAATTTTAATTTTTAAATTTTATAGAGAAATTGATAAAATCCAGGAGGAAATAAATAAATTAACGAAAAGTCCTAACAGTGAACAGTTGGAGGAATTGAAAGTAAAAACGATTGAAGAGAAAATAAGGTGAGTATTATAATGAATTGTGCCATTAAAAGTTGTAAATAAATTGTGAAAACTATTTGAGTTTAATGATCAAGAATTTATTGTACAAATCATGATTCTAGTTCAGTTCTAGCTTACTTCTAGTTCAGTTTAGTTCAGTTCTAGTTCAGTTCTAGTTCAGTTTTTGTTCAGTTCTAGTTCAGTTCTAGTTCAGTTCTAGTTCAGTTCTAGTTCAGTTCTAGTTCAGTTCTAGTTCAGTTCTAGTTCAGTTCTAGTTCAGTTCTAGTTCAGTTCTAGTTCAGTTCTAGTTCAGTTCTAGTTCAGTTCTAGTTCAGTTCTAGTTCAGTTCTAGTTCTAGTTCTAGTTCAGTTCTAGTTCAGTTCTAGTTCAGTTCTAGTTCAGTTCTAGTTCAGTTCTAGTTCAGTTCTAGTTCAGTTCTAGTTCAGTTCTAGTTCAGTTCTAGTTCAGTTCTAGTTCAGTTCTAGTTCAGTTCTAGTTCAGTTCTAGTTCAGTTCTAGTTCAGTTCTAGTTCAGTTCAGTTCTAGTTCAGTTCTAGTTCAGTTCTAGTTCAGTTCTAGTTCAGTTCTAGTTCAGTTATAGTTCAGTTCTAGTTCAGTTCTAGTTCAGTCTAGTTCAGTTTTCAGTTCTAGTTCAGTTCTAGTTCAGTTCTAGTTCAGTTCTTGTTCACTTTCTTGTTCACATTCATTTCTAGTTCAGCTTCTAGTTCAGTTCTAGTTCAGTTCTAGTTCAGTTCTAGTTCAGTTCTAGTTCAGTTCTAGTTCAGTTCTAGTTTCAGTTCTAGTTTAGTTCAGTTCTAGTTCAGTTCTAGTTCAGTTCTAGTTCAGTTCTAGTTCAGTTCTAAGTTCAGTTCTAGTTCGTTCTAGTTCAGTTCTAGTTCAGTTCTAGTTCAGTTCTAGTTCAGTTCTAGTTCATTCTAGTTCAGTTCTAGTTCAGTTCTAGTTCAGTTCTAGTTCAGTTCTAGTTCAGTTCTAGTTCAGTTCTAGTTCAGTTCTAGTTCAGTTCTAGTTCAGTTCTAGTTCAGTTCTAGTTCAGTTCTAGTTCAGTTCTAGTTCAGTTCTAGTTCAGTTCTAGTTCAGTTCTAGTTCAGTTCTAGTTCAGTTCTAGTTCAGTTCTAGTACTAGTTCAGTTCTAGTACTAGTTCAGTTCTAGTACTAGTTCAGTTCTAGTACTAGTTCAGTTCTAGTACTAGTTCAGTTTTAGTACTAGTTCAGTTCTATTACTAGTTCAGTTCTAGTACTAGTTCAGTTCTAGTTCCATTAGTTAAGATCATATTTAATAAATCCATATGTATTTTAATTTTCATTTCAAATGTTAAATCTGTTTTATTTTTAAATTTCTTTTTTTGAAAATAGTTTAAGTGATAAATTGCTTAAATTGAAATGTTGCAATTTGCCTATTACCGAAATTCCTCCAGTTGAGATTGCAACTTATTCAAAAGAGACTCAAACTAATATTTCAAGACTTTATAGACATAATGATCGTAAGTACATATTTGAATATTAAGGTTAATTTTAAAAAAATTAATAATGTTTAATTTTACGGTTTAAAAGTTTCTCTAAAAAATGTTTATGAAGATCACGACAGAGAATATCAAGATGATGTATCACCTTTGAAGCTGATGTGTAAGTTTTCATCAAATTTACCACCTGGTATTTTAAGTCCTGGCCTACCCAAAGTAATGGATATGCCACCTGCATTAACTCCTATAGATAAAGAAAATCCTTGGAATTATTTAAAGGAAAAGAGCAAAAGTAAGTTTTAATTGTAAAACTAGAATTTCTCTTATTTGTTTTTATTTTTTTAAAGAAATAATGGTGGAAAAAGCAGAAGAAATAGTTTTATCGGAAGATTTTCAAAATTCTCTAAAACGCGTTAGTCTTGCCATGGAGAAAGTTATAAGCACGAACAAAAATATATATGTTGACTATATTGGTGGGACAAAGAATGATTGGGATTATGAAAACAATTCAAAGGGGCCAATAAGTTTAAATCAAAATTTCTATGATAAAAGTATAACGGATAAACGTTGTATTACATGTATAGACTGGTCCTCCCATAATACTGATCAAATAGCTGCCTCATATTATAAAAATGAGGTAAACTATAAATTTAAAAAAAGTCTTCAATGATATTATTTTTTATTTCCATATATTAGCCAGATACTCCGACAAATGCTGAAGGAGATGTTATAATTTGGAATCGAAATTTTAAGCCAGAAACAGCAGAACATGTATTCCATTGTCATAGTTCAGTTATGTCGATTTGTTTTACAAAATTCAATCCTAACTTAATAATAGGAGCCACATATTCGGGTCAAATTGTGTTGTGGGACAATCGTGTTAAAACCTCGATACCGGTACAATGCACAAAATTAAATTCAAAAGCTCATAATCAACCTATATATTGTTTACGTGTAATTGATAATGATGATAGTTCGCATAATATAATATCTATTTCGTCCGATGGTAAAATGTGTTCTTGGAGTTTGGATATGTTGGGTTTGCCTTTGGATGTTATGCAATTGCAATTAGATGTCTCGGAAAAAGTAAAAAAATCTATAGCAGTTAATTGTATGGATTTTCCATTGAATGGCATAAATAATATGGTAATGGGTGCTGAAGATGGTTGTGTATATTCGGGTAAGTTCGACAATAACTAAATAAAGAATCTATCATCATAATTTCTCAAACAGCTTTTCGTTTTGGCTATGCGTCTGGCATTACTAATTGTTATGAAAAACATGAAGCTCCCATTACGAGCATCTCCACGCACTATAATCAAGCTACATCGACGAACTTTAGCAATTTATTTCTTACTTCATCCTTAGATTGTACAATTAAATTGTGGTCACTAGATGGTGAGCTACCTTTACACACTTTTAAAAATAACTATGATTATGTTATGGATGTGGCCTGGTCACCCATACATCCAGCCCTTTTTGCTGCCGCCAATGGTGCTGGTCATATAGATTTATATAATCTTAATGAAGATATTCAAGAACCCACAAAATCGATAACTACTAAAGGAGATACAGCTATAAATCGTTTGAAATGGCATAAGGATGGACAACACATTGCAGTTGGTACTGATAATGGTGAATTGTGTGTATATAACATTGTAGAAGATCTAGCAAATCCTGTTAATGATGAATGGTCGATGTTTAGTGAAATACTTTATGATATAAGAGTGAATTGTGCCATTGAAAGTTGTGAATAAATTGTGAAAATTATGTTAGTTTAATCATCAAGAATTTATTGTACAATTCGTGATAAAACAGTTCTAGTTCAGTCTTTGTTCAGTTTAATTCTAGTTCAATTCTAGTTCAGTTCTAGTTCAGTTCTAGTTCAGTTCTAGTTCAGTTCTAGTTCAGTTCTAGTTCAGTTCTAGTTCAGTTCTAGTTCAGTTCTAGTTCAGTTCTAGTTCAGTTCTAGTTCAGTTCTAGTTCAGTTCTAGTTCAGTTCTAGTTCAGTTCTAGTTCAGTTCTAGTTCAGTTCTAGTTCAGTTCTAGTTCAGTTCTAGTTCTAGTTCAGTTCTAGTTCAGTTCTAGTTCAGTTCTAGTTCAGTTCTAGTTCAGTTCTAGTTCAGTTCTAGTTCAGTTCTAGTTCTAGTTCAGTTCTAGTTCAGTTCTAGTTCAGTTCTAGTTCAGTTCTAGTTCAGTTCTAGTTCAGTTCTAGTTCAGTTCTAGTTCAGTTTCTAGTTCAGTTCTAGTTCAGTTCTAGTTCAGTTCTAGTTCAGTTCTAGTTCAGTTCTAGTTCAGTTCTAGTTCAGTTCTAGTTCAGTTCTAGTTCAGTTCTAGTTCAGCTCTAGTTCAGTTCTAGTTCTAGTTCAGTTCTAGTTCAGTTCAGTTCTAGTTCAGTTCTAGTTCAGTTCTAGTTCAGTTCTAGTTCAGTTCTAGTTCAGTTCTAGTTCAGTTCTAGTTCAGTTCTAGTTCAGTTCTAGTTCAGTTCTAGTTCAGTTCTAGTTCAGTTCTAGTTCAGTTCTAGTTCAGTTCTAGTTCAGTTCTAGTTCAGTTCTAGTTCAGTTGTAGTTCAGTTCTAGTTCAGTTCTAGTTCAGTTGTAGTTCTGTTCTAATACAGTTCTAGTTCTCATCTAGCTCAATTCTAGTTCACTTCATGTTCGGTTCTATTTCACTTCAGTTTAGGGTATATTATACAAGATTATCATTCCGATTGAAATCTAGTACAAGTTATATTTTTAAATAGTTTAGAAAATATTTGTTTAATTCCAAATAAATAATCTTAAACTTAAAAGCAGTTTAGAGTGATATATTTATTCCGCTTTATTGAAAATTATCAGGACTCTCAGACTTTCTAAATGGAATGTTTTTGATCGTTTATAGTGCAGAATACATAAAATGTACGCTTATCCATGTTATTATTATGTTGATTAATGAACAAAAACATATTATTAAAATGATTCCTTAAACTATCACTTGTTTTACAACCTGTTCAAAATCGATTTTTTGTTTTTCTACTCGACACTTTCTACCCTTTTCCCATTCCAGCGGATGTGCAGTCTTACGATGATGATGATATTTCGAGGATTTTTTAAATGTTTTCGGACAATCTGCGCACTGATACAAAGCTTCACCTGTATGTGTGGCAACATGTTCTTGTAAATCTTTCGGTCGTTTAAATCCCTTATCACAATGAGGACATTTATATTTTCTTTCTTTTTCGTGAACATATTTTCTATGATGCATTAGACCTCTTTCACTGCCTGATACTTTGCCACATATACTGCAAACGTAAACGGTTGAGCCATCGCTGTGATAAGCTGCCTTATGCTGTTTTAAATTAGTACTTGAAGCTAGTATGGCGCCACATTCCTCACAGGGGAATTTAGGTTTTTCAATGCCCTCATGTTCTTTTAGATGTTTTTTGAGAGCTCCAATACCGTGCAATGTTTTACCACACTGGTCACAAACCCGGTTATCATTGTGAACCAATTTAACGTGAGCTTTGAGTTGAACTTCTAGTACATATGCTTTACCACATTCCTCACATTTGAAATCTTTATTGCCCGTAGCATGGATTAACACATGACGTTCTAAATTTTGCTTTTGCTTGAAAATCTTTTGACAAATCTCACATTCAAATGTCTGTTGTGTTTCTGCGTGTAAAGCTCTTTTATGGAGTTTAAGATTATATTTACTAGAACTTGGTTTACCACAAATATCACATTTATAGGTCTCCGGATTAATATGTAGACGTATGTGTTCGACCAAAGCACAACGACGATAAAATGTACGTTCACAGCATTTGACATAACATCTGGCATTATGTTGCTCCTTAAAATGTATCTTTAATAAATCGAAATTGTCAAATGATTCATTACAATTACCACATTCTAACTGGGATTTCCATTCCGCTATAAATTCATTATGTTTACGAAATTTCTTTAAGCCAGGATGAAGGCGTTTAATATGTTCAGAATCTTTGGATTTTTTCCTTTTTTCACTTAACGTATCATCTTCTTCATTAGGTTGAGACTCTAAATTTGAGCTTTCTTTAGCTTTAACTTTTGAGTTTCGCAATCTATGAGCTTTATCTTTATATTCCTTGTCTAAAGCATCCTTTTCTTTGTTATATTTTAAAGAGGTTTGTTCTTTTAATAACTCACTTAAAGGAATTTTATCATGTTCTTCGTCATCTATATCATCAACCAATTCTGTTTCTTCCTCTTTGGGATTCTCGATACGTTCTATATCATTATTAATTATTACTTCTTTAAATTCCATTAACTCACTATCACCTGTATCGAAATTAGTCACTTGTTCTTTTTCAAGCTTGATGTGCAATGGAGAATTCTGAATATAACTAGTGTCCTCTAGCGTTGACCTCGTTTTTATAACTGTTTCATGAAATTCATGAAAGTCATTTATGTGTTGCCAACAGTCCAGGCAAAGTACCCTACTATTCCTCTCTTTGGAACACATATTACTGTGGTATTCTTCACTGATTAACTGAAAGACACAAATTGTTTTCACAAGTTTGTTAACAAAACAAAAAGACAACACAAGTAAATTGACAAATATTACCATCGGATCAAAATATTTTACTGTAATTTCATAGATTTCATTACATTCTCCACAACCATTTTGTAAAGATTTATAGTCTTTACATGGCGTGCAACACAGACAACAACATAATTTAATTGACATTCTTTTATTTTTTGCAGAAATCGAAATTTATTGTGTTTAAGAAATATTTTTCCACTTTCCTAATTTATATGCAAAAAGTTACAACACAAAGTTGCCATATTCTCTATATGGAGATGCCACACTATATGTGGTGTAAAAATAAAGAAGGAATTTGGTATTATACATACGTGGTTCCTCATGGAGTTGCTCCGAATTTCGAAACTATAGACTAGACTATAGACCAGACTAGACTAGACTACAGACTAAACTATAGACTAGACTATAAACTAAAACTTCTTAACAGACTTTACTATATGTAAAATCCTTTATAGACTAGATCCTAGCCTATATTATACACAGACTAACGACAAAAAAACTGCATCCAAAATAGGGTCGCAGTGCTTAGGGCTCTCTCTAATCTAATCTAACGACTAAAAATTATATTAATTACACATTTTAATTTAAACTCCTTTTATTTCTTTACAAAGAAAAAAATTAACACAAATACATACATATTTATGTACATAAAACCACACCACTACTATTTAGCATCATTTGCCAGTATATATCCACCTTCTTCTACCTTCTTCCCATTCTACCGGATGTACTCTTTTGCGATGATGATGCATATTGGCATTAACTTTAAATGTCTGAGGACAATGTGGACACTGATACAAATCCTCTCCAGTGTGAGTAGCCATATGTTCGCGTAAAACATGAGGAACCTTAAAAGCTTTATCACAAATGGTACATTTAAATTTACGCTCCAACTTATGAGAATAACGTATATGACTTTGCAAACTCATTTGGGTGGGAGCAATTTTACCACATTCATCACAAGCATAAACTTTTGATGTTTCATGAACAGTTTTGTGGCGCTTTAAGCTAGAATGTGATGTCAGTTCTGCATTACACTGATCACAGGGCCATTTTGGTTTCTTAACACCAGCATGTTCGAGCATATGCTGTTTAAGTGCAGCCACTCCATGTAAAGTCTTTCCACATTGATCACACACCCGATCAGCATTATGTACATTACGCTCATGAATTTTTCGTCGTTGTTCGGTGGAAAATCCCTTTTCGCATTGGCTACATTTATATGTCTGATCGGTATCATGTGTTTCCATGTGCTTTTTGAGAGCACCTTTTTTCGTAAAACCTTTTTGACAAATCGAGCATTCGAATGAACGTTTTTGACCTTCGTCTGTATGTTTATCATGCATGTGATAATTTAAATTACGGCTAGTTAGAAAAACATTTCCACATATATTACATTTAAAGGTATTCGGATCTAAGTGATATCGAATATGTTCAACAATTTGTACACGTTGTACTAACTTACGTTGACAACAGGTAACGTAGCATTTTTGCTTCGGATGTTCTGAAATGAAATGTTTGCGTAACAAGGTAAGATCTTTAAAATTTTTTTGACAAAGATCACATTCCAAGAGTGGTCTCCAATTTGCAATAAATTCATCAATTTCTTGTCGCTTTTCTTTAACTGATTTTTGTTTATCATTAGAAGAAACAAAAGCATCCGGATCAGCAAGATAATTAGGATCATCGCTTTCATTACCATCATTGTATGTAATTGATGAATTGGAATTATTGTTCTGATTTTCACTGCTTATTTGTTCACTATCTTTGTATAATCTTCCATGTTAATATCATTATCATTTTCATTACAATTTAATGAAAAATTCTGTGAATGGTTTGGAATTTTTGTGTTTTTTGGTTTAGTATTATTTGTTAACTTCTCCTGACAAATTTTTGCGGCTTTGCGTGATAATTTTGTTCGACCTCTTTTTGGAGTGGCTGCTACTTTTTCTTGTCTTACACGTTTTACATTTATTTTATTTTCATCTTTTATTTCCGTTAGTTTGGTCTTTTTTCTTGTTCGTTTGGGTAACACCTCCAACAAATCCATTTTCAGGTTGTTGTCATCTTCCATGTTCTCTTCAAGTGCGAAAGAATCTTCGTTTTTCACCTCTATTATATCTAACTGTGTTAAACAGATTTCTCTTGTTCCATCTTCGTTAAAACTTATATTGTCATTTGAGGTTTCCATTTCTGCCGCTAAACCGTTTTCCAATTTGATATTAGTTGCGATTTCGTTAATGTCCTGTTCAAATTTCATTTGTGCATTGTGCACGGACTGCTGAAAATTATGGAAATCATCGATATGCTGCCAACATTGTATGCATATACCCGTAGACAGTTGCGGGTATTGCTGGGAGTTAAGGAACTAAAAAATATTTAAGTTTTTTTAAAGCAATCTTCAACTATAAAAACATTTTTCTTACCATAGGATCAAAATATTTTACAGTAATTTCGTAAATTTCATTCCCCTGTCCAATTTTATCATAGAGATTCTTAAATTCACTGTGGGCACAAATACACAAACGACATAATGCTGTTGATGCCATTGTAGTTACGAAAATGGATTGAATTCCTCTAAGTATTCCAATCTAATTAAAGGAAAATTACTACTAGAAGTAGAATGAACTAAGTTTGTTTGTTTTTTTGTTAATCACTCACCCTGGACTGTTAACAGAAATATTATGTTTACGATTACTAGTAGGAAGGAAAAACGAAAAACTTATGCTACTGTCGGTTGTAATGAATCTTTATAGATTATGTACATTAGGAGGTACCTACATATTTCAAAGAACAAATTTAATACTTGTTATTTTAAAGTACCAACAATTATATTTATATCTATCTATCTATCTATCTATCTATCTATCTATCTATCTATCTATCTATCTATCTATCTATCTATCTATCTCTATCTATCTATCTATCTATCTATCTATCTATCTATCTTATCTATCTATCTATCTTATCTATCTATCTATCTATCTATCTATCTATCTATCTATCTATCTATCTATCTATCTATCTATCTATCTATCTATCTATCTATCTATCTATCTATCTATCTATCTATCTATCTATCTATCTATCTATCTATCTATCTATCTATCTATCTATCTATCTATCTATCTATCTATCTATCTATCTATCTATCTATCTATCTATCTATCTATCTATCTATCTATCTATCTATCTATCTATCTATCTATCTATCTATCTATCTATCTATCTATCTATCTATCTATCTATCTATCTATCTATCTATCTATCTATCTATCTATCTATCTATCTATCTATCTATCTATCTATCTATCTATCTATCTATCTATCTATCTATCTATCTATCTATCTATCTATCTATCTATCTATCTATCTATCTATCTATCTATCTATCTATCTATCTATCTATCTATCTATCTATCTATCTAATCTATCTATCTATCTATCTATCTATCTATCTATCTATCTATCTATCTATCTATCTATCTATCTATCTATCTATCTATCTATCTATCTATCTATCTATCTATCTATCTATCTATCTATCTATCTATCTATCTATCTATCTATCTATCTATCTATCTATCTATCTATCTATCTATCTATCTATCTATCTATCTATCTATCTATCTATCTATCTATCTATCTATCTATCTATCTATCGATCTATCTATCTATCTATCGATCTATCTATCTATCTATCTATCTATCTATCTATCTATCTATCTATCTATCTATCTATCTATCTATCTATCTATCTATCTATCTATCTATCTATCTATCTCTCTATCTATCTACCTATCTATCTATCGGATGTAATCTCATCTGCTAAGGGTAAATCACATACATGAAAAAACATGGATTTTAGATTAAAATTACTTTTATTTGCTATTTTTGTTAAATATATTTTTAAGTATAATCAAGTCGCGTTCCTTTATTTTAAATAACAACTTCATTTGATACCAAATTAACGTCTACTTTTGTGATAATCGGTTTATTCATTCTTCCTTCAGCCCATTCTTTGGGATGGGCCTTCTTTCGATGATGATGCATATTGGCATTAACTTTAAATGTCTTTGGACAATGAGGACACTGATATAAATCTTCTCCCGTGTGAGTAGCCATATGTTCGCGCAATACAATGGCAACTTTAAAGCCTTTGTCACAAATGGTACATTTAAATTTACGCTCTGCTTGATGGACATATTTTTTGTGACTACGTAACGCCGTCTCGGTAGGAGCAATTTTACCACATTCACTACACACATACACCGTAGAACCATCATGATGTGCCACCGTTTTGTGACGTTTTAAACTGGAACGAGAATTTAGTTCAGCATTACACTGATCACAGGGCCATTTACGTTTTTTAATGCCAGCATGTTCGAGTATATGTTGCTTTAGAGCATAAACACCATGTATAGTTTTGCCACATTGGTCGCAAACACGATCAACATTGTGGACCATACGTTCATGAATCTTGCGGCGTTGTTCGGTAGAGAAGCCTTTTCCACATTCGCTACACTTAAAATCTTTGCCTGTATCGTGTGTTTCCATATGCGTTTTGAGAGTGCACTTTTTAGCAAAACGTTTTTGGCATATCGTACATTCAAAAGGACGCTCTTGACCTTCGGCTGTATGTTTCTCGTGCATATGCTTGTTCAAATTACGACTATTGGTAGAAACCTTATCGCATAGCTTACATTTAAAAGTGTTAGGATCTATGTGGTAGCGTATGTGCTCGACTATATCAAAACGATGTTTTAATTTACGCTGACAACAGGAAACATAACATTTCTGCTTCGGATGCTCTATGCTAAAATGTTTTCTTAGAAAAGTTAAATTTGTAAAAGCCAGATTACATATGTCACATTCCAATTCTTGTTTCCATTCCGCAATAAATGCATCGATTTCTTTAGTTTTTTGTTTGCCCGGCTTCTGTTTATCATTGGATGAAACAAAGGCATCTGGATCATCTTGATGATGATTATTATCGCTGTCATCATTATCATTATCATCATGTTCAATATCATAATCATCGTCTTCATCCTCATTTGAAGAGATATGAGTATCTTGCTCATTGATTTCGTCATTTTTTAGAGAATTTTCTGTTTCAGTTTCCGTTTTAACTGCAGGAATTTTATCATTTGTATCTTTTGGTTTTGCTTTGCGTTTTAAGGTGGTTTTCGCCTGGGTTTTATTTTCTGTATTGTTTTTATTTCTGGGTTTTCTTGTGCGCTTTACACTGGAGTTATCCTTATCAATATCTTCTTCTTTTTTAGGTTTTCTTCCGCGCTTTTTTCTTGTGCTTAAGGGTAAACTATCTAACAAAGGCTTTTCATCATCTGTTGAAAAGGGATTATCATCCTTAATATCGTCCACATCTAAATCCGGTAGAAATATTTCATTTTTCTCCTCCACATCGACACAAACATTATTAAAGACATTATGATATAAAGCCTGCTCCTCAGTATTTTGGGAATTTATAATTAAGGGTTGTTCAGAGCCATTTAACAAATCTTCTTCCAATTTAATGCTGGTAACAATCTGTTTAAATTCCTGCTCTAGTTTTGTTTGAGCATTGAGTACCGTCTGTTGGAAACTATGAAAATCATTGATATGATGCCAGCATTTCATACAAATAACCATAGAGAGTTGCGGATATTGTTGTGAGTTAAGAAACTGGAAGAAATGTTTGTTCCATAAGAGATTCCTTATAATAACTATGTGAAATTGTACACCTACCATGGGATCGAAATATTTTACAGTAATTTCGTAGACTTCATTTCCCTGACCAAATTCATCGAATAAACTTTTACATTCCGTATAGTCACAGATACACAAACGACACAAAGATGTTGTGGACATTATAAATTGCTGTTATATTTTATTAGGTTTCTATTTTAATAATTACATTTATTTTAATAAATTAGTTTTTCTAAAATGTATATTTTTTTATTTCCTTTTATTATTGTGTTTGTGTTATTCACTTTAGAATGATGACAAACAATTTTGTATTTACGTATAGGAGCGTAAAGGAAAAGAATGAATGAATACAGGGTGCACATTTTTATTTTACATTTTAAGGCATGCCGTACTTTTTAATACATATTAAATCCCAATTAGGAATCTGTAAAATGAAAAAGCAGTCGAAGACCTAGAACTTACCCAAAAAGTTTTTGGTATACATATGTATAAGAATTTTATATTTCAATGTCAAAAATTTAGTTTTTTTTTTTTGAACTCATAATCATGAGAGTGTGAAATAAAATAAATTTTTTAAAAATATTTGAAACATGTTCTATTAAATTTTATTACAAAACTTTAGCACTATAGTGCAAAGATAATAAAATATTTAAATTAAAATTAACATTCAATCTTTAAAGTACAACTTGATTCTTTACATGATTTATATCAACTTTAGGTACTTGTAAACGATTCTTTCTACCCTCTTCCCATTCTATTGGATGTACTTTCTTACGATGATGATGCATATTAGCGCTAACTTTAAATGTTTGTGGACAATGAGGACACTGATACAGATCCTGGCCTGTATGAGTGGCTATATGTTCTTGTAGATTTTTTGGACGTTTAAAGGCTTTATCGCAATAAGTACACTTATGTTTACGCTCCTCTTCATGGACATATTTTTTATGATTTAGTAAAGCACTTTCGCTGGACGCTACTTTACCACAAACGCCACAAACATAAATCGTTGAACCGTCATGATGAAAGGCAGCCTTATGACGCTTTAGGCCATTACGAGAATTCAACTCGACACCACATTCGTCGCAGGGAAATTTGGGTTTTGCAATGCCAGCATGTTCCATTAAATGTTTTTTCAGAGCCTGTATACCATGTATAGTTTTTCCACACTGATCGCATACACGATCCACATTGTGTACAGTTTTGATGTGCGACTTAAGTTGAACTTCCAGCACATAACCCTTGCCACATTCTTGACACACAAAGTCCTTATCGCCCGTTACATGGGTGAGTAAATGACGATCTAATGAGGTTTTTAAATTAAATAATTTATGACAAACCTCACATTCCAGTTGTTCGATTTCTTCGTGCATTAACTTTTTATGTAGTTTAAGATTATTTTTATTAGCACTTACTTTTCCGCATATGTCACATTTGTGTGTTTCCGGATTGAGATGCAGCTGTATGTGATTAACTAATACATAACGTCGATAGAACTTACGCTCACAACACTTTATATAGAATCTAGTTTTATGTTTTTCTCTAAAATGTGTACGCAATTTATCAAAACTTGTGGAGGACTCTTCGCATAAATCACATTCTAATATGGGTTTCCATTCCCTGATGAAAGCATCAGATTCACGTGCCTTTTCTAAATTAAATTTAGAATTACTCTTTTCTTGTTTATCATCATCACCATTGTCCACAACATTATTATCCAATTTAGTTTTTTTCGTTTTTATATCATTATTGTTTCCTTCCTGGTCTGTATTTTCAGTTTCATTATCATTCTGCTCTCGTTTTCCCCTTGTCTTAGCTACATTTTTTGGTTTTCTGCCTCGTTTTCCTTTAGGCTTTTGAATGGTGCTGTCGGAATCTGTTTTTTTACTACTCGCATCATTTTTTGTTTTATTATTAACTACTTTTGTTGTTTTCCAGCTTATTAAAGGTTTCTCGTCATCTTCATCTGTACTTACTGAGTTCTCTTTTAAATCATTTTTAACACTTATATCATCTAAACCAATATCATAATCATCATCTTTATCATCGTCACTTTTATCAAAATATCTATCATCATCACATTCTTTGTCCTCATCCAGCTCAGTTTCATTTTCCGTTTTAATAATCAATGGCAATTGTTTTATATCCGATTTCTCCAGCAGTGTACGTGTCTTTATAACATTCTGCTGAAATTCATGGAACTCTTTAATGGGCACCCAACAGTCCTGGCAAAGAACTTTGTGTTCTTGTGAACATTTAGGGAATTCTTCGTCGGTAATTAACTGAAGTATCAAATACATACAGATTTATAGTAAGGACTTTTAAATAAACATTTTATTTACCTACCATGGGATCAAAATATTTCACAGTAATTTCATATACTTCTGTACTGTCTCCCACTTCATTTTGTAATGTTTTATATTCGCTACTTGGAGAGCAACACAAGCTGCAGCATAATTTTATAGACATATTTGGAAAATTTTAGTTTTTATTAAAAATATAAATAAGGAGAATTTTGTGTTCAATTTTCTAAAAAACAAAAATATTGTTTGTAAACAATTCATTTGCCTTTAGCTGTCACTTTTACTTAACAACCAGAGTGGCCAGATTTTGATTATGCAAAAAGTGAGAATTTGACAATATGCATATTATTAAATTGTTTCTTGATTTATAATATACCTATGTATGTATGCATTATCTATCTATATCTATCTATCTATCTATCTATCTATCTATCTATCTATCTATCTATCTATCTATCTATCTATCTATCTATCTATCTATCTATCTATCTATCTATCTATCTATCTATCTATCTATCTATCTATCTATCTATCTATCTATCTATCTATCTATCTATCCTATCTATCTATCTATCTATCTATCTATCTATCTATCTATCTATCTATCTATCTATCTATCTATCTATCTATCTATCTATCTATCTATCTATCTATCTATCTATCTATCTATCTATCTATCTATCTATCTATCTATCTATCTATCCATAAAACAGAATATAAAACATCCAATTGATTACTCTCAATTTTTATTTCTTTAAAACTAAAAGAGATTTAAAAAATAATTCTAATTAAGACTAGGCTTAATATAAATACAAATAATAACCTTTTGCAAAAGGTTCTTATGACAAAAATGATAATTAAAAACTAAAATAAATTATATTACAACTTGATTAGTTACTTGTGTTATATCGACTTTACGCAGTTGTAAACGATTTTTTCTGCCCTCTTCAAACTCTACAGGATGAGCTTTCTTACGATGATGATGCATATTGGAGCTAACCTTAAATGTTTGTGGACAATGAGGGCATTGATACAGATCCTCGCCGGTATGTGTGGCAATATGTTCACGAAGAAATTTGGGACGTTTAAATGCCTTATCGCAATATGTACACTTGTGCTTACGTTCTTCTTGATGGACATGTTTTTTATGTGTCAATAGGCCATATTCACTGGCTGCCACTTTACCACAAATACTGCAAACATAAATGGTAGAACCATCATTATGGTACGCTGCTTTATGACGTCTTAAATTACCGCGAGATCTTAGCTGGGCACCACATTCATCACAAGGATATTTAGGTCTTTCAATGCCAGCATGTTCCATTAAATGCTTCTTGAGTGCTCCAATGCCATGCAAAGTTTTACCACATTGATCACATACACGATTATCACTATGTACCGTCTTGATGTGTGATTTAAGTTGAACTTCTAGGACATAACCCTTACCACATTCCTTACAAATGAAATCTTTACTGCCCGTAGCATGTGTTAATAAATGACGTTCCAAATTGGGTTTTTGATTAAACGACCTATGACAAATTTCGCATTCAAATTGTTCAGTTTCTTCATGTACAACTTTCTTGTGAAGTTTCAGATTGTATTTACTAGAGCTAGGTTTACCACATATGTCACATTTATGGGTTTCCGGATTAATATGTAGACGTATGTGATCGACTAGCACACAACGTCGATAAAATTTACGTTCACAACATTTAATATAACATCTTGCATTATGTTTATCTTTAAAATGTCCTTTTAACAAATCGAAAACAGGAAATGTTTCATTACAGATATCACACTCCAGTAAAGGTTTCCATTCCGCTATGAATTCATCAGATTCTCGACCTTTCTCTAAGCCGGAATTAATGCGAGAATTCTTTTTAGGTTTTTCTGCATCATTCAGTTTCCTCTTTTTTCTAGGTGGTTTTTCCAAATTGTCAACATTTTCGCCCACCGCTTGTTCTTTATTAAAATCTTTAGGTTTGCGACCCCTGCGTGCTTTAGGTTTCTCATCCTCTGCCACATTTTGTTTTTTATCTTCTGTTTGATTGTTGTCTTCGTCAGTTGTATTCACAGATTTTTTAGGTTTTCTTAATTCAATTAAAGGTTTTTGATCATCTTCATCCTCATCATCGTCATCATAATCTTCTTCATTATCAAATACTCCAACATCATTATCGCCTAGGGCGTCTTCATCATCTTCTGAATCATTTTTTATTAACATATCTTCAAAATGTCTCAATTCTTCATCACCTTGAGCCACATCTTTATTTTTATCATTTGTTACAGAGCAAACCTGTTCCTCCTCTAATTTTATTTGCAATGGCAACTGCTTAATTTCAGTCTCTTCTAGCAATGTCCGTGTTTTTATTACGGTCTGTTGAAATTCATGAAAATCTTTTATATGCAACCAACAGTCCTGGCAAAGTATTTTATTATCACTCGAACACTTTGTATTATTATACTCTGTGAGTAGCTGAAATCCCACAAAAAGTTATTAAATACTTTTTTTAGGAAAATTTAGTCCTTTCTTACCATGGGATCAAAATATTTGACTGTCATTTCATAGATTTCATTGCATTCCCCCAGCTCGTTCTGTAAAGATTTATATTCATTGCTAGGTGAGCAGCACAAGCAGCAACATAATTTTATAGACATTTTTTAATTTACAAATTGCAATTTTTGTATTTTTTCATTAACAATTCATTTGTAGGAAAATTTCTGAAACATTTTTGTTTGTAAACAAAAATAATAAATAATGTTACCACATGTTGTGTTTAGTGGTACAATGTATTAATAATCCATTTTGGGAAGAAATATCAAAGGAGGAATTTTATTAGTAGAAGTCAAAAATATTCTAATTAGGATTTTGAAACATTTTTTAAACAGAAAAATTAATAAAATAAAACTTTATTATGTATATTGAGAAATTATACTAAAATTGTCGATAAAATGAAAAATTACCGAACTTTTTTTATAAAAAGAAAATTTATCGAAAATTTTCTAGAAAAATACAGAATATATCGAATTTTGTATATTAAAAGAAAATTTATTGAAAATTTCCTATAAAAAAATATTTAAAATTGTCTAGTAAAAGTAATTTATCGAAAATTTGTATTGAAATAAATTGCATTTTGAACCTCTTTTAAGCGCCTTGCCGACACATCAAATTGTTTGACTCAAACGGTAAGTTTTTTGATTGTGTTAGTAAAAAACTCACACCACATATATACATGTGAGTTTTTTCACTAACACAATCAAAAAACTTACCGTTTGAGTCAACAAATTTGATGTGTGGCAATGTCGCTTAAAGCGCCTTGGCGACACATCAAATTGTTTGATTCAAACGGTAAGTTTTTTGATTATGTTAGTAAAAAACTCACACCGCATATATACATGTGAGTTTTTTCACTAACACAATCAAAAAACTTACCGTTTGAGTCAAACAAATTTGATGTGTGGCCGTGTCGCTTAAATGTGTTGTTAGTGATGTGTGGCCATGTCGATTTAAGTATTAAAAACTAAAACAACTCTGGTTCTATTTACAATGTACATATATCATTCATCTGGCAATATCATAAAATAATTTTGTTTACAAATAAAAAGTACTTTATATTAAACATTTTATAATTATTTTTAACAAAATTTAGAGTTTATTTAACATGTCTATAAAAAAATGTTGTAGTTTGTGTTGTAATACTTGTGAAGAATATAAATTATTGCAAAATGAATCGGGCGAAAGTAATGAAATCTATGATATTACAGTAAAATATTTTGATCCCATGGTAAATAAAAGAATACAATATGTTCCAGTAAAATGTAAGGCTCATAAACTTTTATTTTAAACAGCTACTCACAGAAGAAATCGCTTCCGACTCGCAACATAATCAGGTGCTCTGTCAGAGCTGTTGGTTTCACATCGAAGAGTTTCATGAATTTCAACAAACTGTATTGAAAACGCGTATGCTATGGGAAGACACGGTAGTAATGGGAAAACAATTACCCTTAGAAGTAAAACAAGAAGATGAACAGCCATATGTTAGTACAAACTATAAAGATGAAGAACGTTTCTACAGCAATGAAGACGAAGACGATGATGATGATGATGAAGACTACGAAGACCAGTGTGATGAAATGGAAAATGTTAATTTCAATACAGAATCCTTAACAAGCAGTGAGGATACTAAACCAGCTGAAGATAAATCTAAAGTAACTCAAGATGCAGCAACTGAGGAAGGGGAAAATAACAATAAGGAGGACTTAGGAAAACCTGCCAAACCGAGACGTGGCAGAAAACCTAAAAACCTAACAGAAATAGATGGAAAAAAGGAAAAAAGAAAAAAATCTCCATCAAAGGATAACGCTACGAAAGAGAAAGGCAGCTCGGCCTTTAATATGGTAAAAGCTAAAAAGTCGGATGATTTTATAGCCGAATGGAAACCAGAACTAATGTGTGATTTATGCAGTGAAACCGCTACAAATTACGATAAACTACGCAGTCATTTTAGGGAGAAACACAAAACAAGATTCTATATTAAATGCTGTGAACGGAAATTCTTTCGTCGTTGCGTTCTCGTCAATCACATACAATTGCATCTTAATCCGGAAACTCACAAGTGTGATATATGCGGCAAGTCCAGCACAACAAAACATAATCTTAAATTGCATAAAAAAGTCATGCATCAAGACACAAAACAATTAAAATGTGATATATGCGAAAAGCTCTTCAAACAAAAAGTTACCTTAGATAGACACTTGCTTACGCATGCCACCGGCAGCAAGGATTTTGTCTGCACCGAATGTGGTAAGGGTTACGTTGCAGAACAATTACTTAAGCTACACATTAAACATGTACATAATGTTGATCGTGTTTGCGATCAGTGTGGCAAAACTATTCATGGTTTTCAGGCTCTCAAAAAACATCTTATGGAACATGCTGGTATTGAACGTCCCACATTTACTTGTGATGTTTGTGGCCTTGAATTAAAGTCAATGAATGGTTTAAAACGTCACAAGGCTGCCTATCATAATGATGGTTCGACGATATATGTTTGTGGTGTTTGCGGTAAAGTGGCCTCTAGTGAAAATGCTTTGTATAATCATAAAAAACTAGTACACATTGAGGAACGTAAACACAAGTGTACATATTGTGATAAGGCATTTAAACGTCCGAAATCCTTGCGCGAACATATAGCAACTCATACGGGACAAGATCTCTATCAGTGTCCCCACTGTCCGCAAACATTCAAAGTGAGTGCCAATATGCATCATCATCGCAAGAAAGTTCATCCGGTTGAATGGGAAGAGGGACGTAAAAATCGTCTACAAATACCTAAAATTAATATTAGTCAAGTTAAGAAACAAGTTGTATTATAATTTTTAAAAATCCAGACATAGAAATTAAGATAATTACACTTTAATTTACCGATGAGGGAAAACTTAATTACTTAACTTTAAATTTATAGAAAAACTTATTTACTAATATGTATACGTTTTTCTATGCTTACGGAGATTCGACATTATTATATTCTGTAGCGGAAAGTATAAGTTATTCTTTGTCATTTTTAATTTAAAATGTACTTTATGTAAAAGCAAATAAAATAGTGTAAAATACTTTTTCACTTATTTAAATTAAAATTAATTTAAGTCTGGGTAAAGTATTAGTCAAAGAGAAAATTTATCGAAAATCTGCAATTGATAGAGAATAAATCTAAAACATTTACAAAAAATAACATTTTATTTCTTTTATTTATCGCAAAATTCCTATAACAAAAAAACTTATCGAAAATATTATATAAAAGACAATTTATAGAAAATTCTCTTTAAAAAAAGAAAATTTTCTACAAACGGAAAATTTATCGAGATTTTTCAATATTCTTTGTATAGAAAATACAATCTGTAAAAAAACTAAAATTTGTTGTAAATTGAGAAAATTAATCCCACTTTAACAATACATCCATGATGGTACCTTGCAAGGTATATTAATTTTATAAGGTAGTGTCATCGGCGAATTCAGAATACCAAGCGAATTGGTTATATTTTTTTTATATGTAGTTTGACATTGTGCCTGCACTTGAAGGCGAATTTGCTGTAAGGGAAAAATTTCAAAAACAGCTGACAAATAAATCAAAGCGAATTTATATTAAACAAAAAATGTTTATAAATTTGAATCTGTTTATAATTTATTCTGATGTTTTATCTTTTAAAGATTAAAAACACAAAAATATGCCCTAATCACACAATTTCACTTTAATCACAAAATTCACATATACAAAATGAAACCAGTTTGACATTAACAAAATGAAAACAAAGTTTGACATTAATTATACACCACGGCGAAAAATGAACATAATAGCAAAAAACGATCAGCTGTTCTGATAACACTACCTTATAATTAATATATCTTGGTACCTTGAATACATTATTCAAAATTTACTTATTACAATCTAACAGCAACTCTGAATTGTAAAACTTTTATAAATCTGGCAAACTGAAACCTAAATATTTATTTACATATTATGTTTCATGTTTACAATTAATATCCGAACAAATTGTTGAATTTCTTGTATTAAATTCTTTCTAAATAAACAATGTCCATTCAACAATATTGCAGTTTGTGTTGCAAGACATACAGTGAATATAAATTGTTGCAAAATGAAGTGGGAGATAGAAATGAAATCTATGAAATTACAATCAAATATTTTGATCCCATGGTAAGTGCTCAATGGAATAACAATAAATTACAATATTTATTATTAAAAAATATTTCAATAGTTGTTTACAGAAGAAACAAATCCTCAATATGAACAAGAAATTAAAGTACTCTGTCAGGATTGTTGGTTACACATTAATGATTTTCATGAATTTCAACAAATGGTTATTACCACCAGAAGTGCTCTGGAGAAAAGTTATACGATAAAGCAATTAGAATTGGATATAAAAGCAGAAATTGTTCAAGATGATACAATTCTCTGGGCTGATAAAGAAACCATTGATAACAGTGAGAAGGAGGAATATTTTGAAAATGTGATAAATGATGATAATTCTTATAATTTGACAGCAGATACTAGCATAAGAAATGAAGAAGATAATAATGATGATGACGGTCTTCTTATGCCATTAATAACTCTAACAAAAGGAACTAATGAACAAAATAAAAATAGTGAAAATGAACTGAATAATTTAAATAATGAGAAAAATCATTTGGAGAAAGAAAAACCTCTAAAAACACTTAGAGATAGAAAGCCAAAAAATTATTCGGAAAAGGCTTTAAAATATAACATCACAAATAAATCGATCCCAAGTGAAAGCAGCAAAAATCTAGAATTAGCAGATAATTCAAAAAAAGTCCCAATCAGTAAAATAGAAAAAAGCATAGAAATGGATAAATTTATAGCAAAATGGAAGCGAACATTAGAATGTGATTTATGTCTTAAAACTTGTAAAACATTTATGGTATTAGAAAAGCATTTTAAAGCGAAGCATAAAACTAGAGGTTATATTAGATGTTGTAAGCGTAGATTGTACAGTCGTTATGAATTGGTCAATCACATACGTTGGCATCAAAATCCCGAGATGCATAAATGTGATATCTGCGGTAAAACCACAACGAATCAATATACTCTTAAGACACACAAGAAAATTATGCACGAAAACTCAGAGAAGTTTGTGTGCAATGTCTGCCACAAAATTTGCAAACGAAAATCCAATTTAGAACGACATATGCTGAGACATGTTAAGGGTAGTAAAGATTTTGTATGTCAAGAATGTGGCAAAGCCTATGTACATGAGATTCAGCTTAAATATCACATCAAGTCTTTACACAACGCACAAGATCATATGTGCGGCAAATGTGGCAAAACTATACACGGCGCCGTAGCTCTAAGGAAACATTTAAAGGAACATGATGATATTAACAAACCTAAATTTCCTTGTGATCAATGTAGCAAGGTGCTTAATTCACGTTATAATCTAAAATGTCATATTGAATCATTCCATAATGATGGTACGGCAATTTATGTTTGTGGTATATGTGGCAAAGTTGCTTCTAATGAGAAGGCTCTATTATACCACAAGAAAAATGTCCACGAAGAACGAAAACATAAGTGTACCTATTGTGAAAAGGCATTTAATAAGCCGCATTTGTTACGTGAACACATTGCCACTCATACCGGCCAGCATCTTTATCAGTGTCCTCATTGTCCGAAAACATTTCAAAAGAGTCGCAATATGACTTATCATCGCAAGAAAGTTCATCCGGTGGAATGGGAAGAGGTTATAAAGAATCGTTTAGAAGTGCCTAAAATTAATATGAATCAAGTTAAATATCAAGTTGTTTTATAATTTTAGTCCATGAATAAAATTGTGGTGAAAAGTATTGAAAAATTATTTTTATTAACGTAAACTTAAAACCAATTTTAATAAAAATATGTATATTTAGCAATTATTTTAAAATATAGAATTTATCTAAAACATTTCTTAAATACATCATTTTCTATAATTTTCTTCTTATAATCTGATAATGTATTGTTATTTCTCATCAACTTTTTTATAATTTTTTTAATTTTGAATAGATTTTCTATTCATAAAAGAAAAGCTTTCTATAAAAAAGAAAATGTATACAAAATTTTCAATAGAAAAGAAAATTTATCGAAAATTATCCAAATAAAATGCATAGCGAATATTCTGTAAAATAGAAAATGTATCGAAAATTTTCTATAAAAAAAGAAAATGTTCTTAAAATTCTACATTTATTGAAAATTTTTTATAAACTGAGAAATTTTAAACAACATAGTCTACCATAAAAATACATCCAATTATTACTTACTACATTTTACAGCAACTCTGTGAAATTTTCGTAAATCTGGCAAACTGATAACTAAATATTTACATATCGTGTATAATGTTTACAAATAAAATCCAAACAAATTATTGAATTTCTTGTATTAAATTCTTTTTAAATAAACAATGTCCATACAACAATATTGCAGTTTGTGTTGCAAGGCATGCAGTGAATATAAGTTGTTGCAAAATGAAGTGGGGGATAGAAATGAAATCTATGAAATTACAATCAAATATTTTGATCCCATGGTAAGTGGTAAATGGAATAACAATAAATCAAAACTTATTAAATAATTTAAATATTCAATAGCTCTTGACAGGAGAAACAAATCCTCAATATGGAGAAGAAATTAAAGTTCTCTGCCAGTATTGTTGGTTACACATTAATGATTTTCATGAATTTAAACAAACTGTTATTACCACCAGAATTACTTTGGAGAAAAGTTATACGATAACGCAATCGGAATTGGATATAAAACCAGAAATTGTTCAAGATGAACCAATTCTCTGGACTGATAAAGAAATCATTGATAACAGTGAGAAGGAGGAAAGTTTTGAGAATGTTTTCATAAATTATGAAGATAATTCTTATAATTTGACAGCAGATACCAGCACAATAAATGAAGATGATAATAATGATGACGGTCTTCTTATGCCATTAATAACAAAAGTAACTAATGAACAAAATAATAATAGTGAAAATGAACTGAATAATTTAAATAATGAGAAAAATGATTCGGAGGAAGAAAAATTTGCAGACAATGCAAAAAAAGGCCCAATCAGTAAAATTGAAAAAAGCATTGAAATGGATAAATTTATAGAAAAATGGAAACGAAATTTAGAATGTGACTTATGTCGTAAGACCTGTAAAACCTTTAAGACATTAGAAAAACACTTTAAAGAGAAACACAAAACTAAAGCTTATATTAGATGTTGTAAGCGTAAATTGTATAGTCGTTATGAATTGGTCAATCACATACGTTTGCATCAAAATCCCGAGATGCATAAATGTGATATCTGTGGTAAAACCACTACGAATCAATATACTCTTAAGGCACACAAGAAAATTATGCACGAAAAATCGGAGCAGTTTATCTGCAATATCTGCAACAAAATTTGCAATCAAAAATGCAATTTAGAACGACATATGCTGAGACATGTTACGGGTAGTAAAGATTTTGTATGTCAAGAATGTGGCAAAGCATATGTACATGAAGTCCAGCTAAAAGCTCACATCAAGACAATACACAACGTAGATGGTAAGATTAAAAGACCTAAATTTCCTTGTGACCAATGTGGCAAGGTGCTTAATTCGCGTTATAACTTAAAAAGTCATAATGAATCATTCCATAATGATGATACAATTTATGTGTGTAGTATATGTGGCAAAGTTGCTACTAATGAGAAGGCTCTATTAAAACACAAGAAAAATGTCCACGAAGAGTGTCGAAAACATAAGTGTACTTATTGCGATAAGGCATTTAAGAAGCCGAAGTTATTACGTGAACATATAGCAACTCATACCGGCCAGGATCTTTATCAATGTCCTCATTGTACGGAAACATTTAAAAATACTCATAATATGACTTATCATCGCAAGAAAGTTCATCCGGTGGAATGGGAAGAGGTTATAAAGAATCGTTTAGAAGTGCCTAAAATTAATAGTAATCAAGTTAAATATAAAGTTGTTTTATAATTAGTTCATCAATAAAATTGTGTCGAAAAAGTATTCAAAAATTATTTTCATGAACGTAAACTTAAAAGCATTTTAATAAAAATAAATATATGTATATGTACATACAATTGTATTAATATTTCTTAAATTTAATTTTGGGCATATTTTCAATTGAGAATTGTTCCAAAAATGTTCAATTTTTTCAAAAATACCATTTATCGAAAACGAAAATCTACAATTTATCAAACATTTTCTATAAAAAAGAAAATTTATCCAAAAATTTCTAAAAAAATAGAAAAGAAAATTTATTGAAAATTTCCTATAAAAATGAAAATTTATCGAAATTTTCTATATAAAAAGGACTTTTATCTAAAATTTTCCCTAAAAGAGAAAATTTAAAGAAATTTTAAATATAAAATGAAAATTTATCGAATTTTTTTTTTTTATAAAAATTAAAATTTTCTGTAAAAAAGATAATTTCTTTAAAATTTTTCTATAAAAAAGAAAATTTATCGAAATTTTTCATACAAAGAGAAAATTTATTGAAAATTTTCTATATAATTCAAAGACATTTTAAACATAAAATGAAAATGTGTCGAAAATTTTCTATAAAAAAGAAAATGTATCGAAATTTTTCCATAAAAAAGAAAATTTATCGAAACTTTTCCATAAAAAAGAAAATTTATCGAAATTTTTCCATAAAAAAGAAAATTTATCGAAAATTTTTTAAAAATAAGAATTTTCTTAAAATTCTAATTTTAAACCACATAGTCCACTGTAACAATACATCCAACTAAATTCAACTATTCATTACTACACTTTACAGCAACTCAGTAAAACTTTCGTAAATCCGGTAAACTGACTAAATATTTGTTTACAAATAACATCAAAACAAATTAATGCATTTTTTGTATTAAATTCTTATAAATAAACAATTGTTAAAAAAAAATGTCCATTAAACGATGTTGCAGTTTGTGTTGCACGGCATGCAGTGAATATAAATTATTGCAAAATGAAGTGGGAGATAGTAATGAAATCTATGAAATTACAGTCAAATATTTTGATCCCATGGTAAGTGGTAAATGGAAGACAAATAAATTACATTATTTATTATTAAAAAATCTTTCAATAGCTGCTTACAGATGAAACAAACCCTCAATATGAACAAGAAATTAAAGTACTCTGTCAGGATTGTTGGTTACACATTAATGATTTTCATGAATTTCAACAAAATGTTATTACCACCAGAAATTCTCTAGAAACAAGTCATACGATAAAGCAATTGGAATTGGACATAAAAACAGAAAATATTCAAGATGATACAACTCACTGGGCTGGAAAAGAAAATATTGATAACAGTGAAGACGAGGAGGAGGAAGAAAGAAGTTTTGAAGATGTTTTCATAAATGAAGAAGATGATTATGATAATTTGGCAGCAGATAATACTGGCTCAATAAATGAAGATAATAATTATGAGATTGATGATGATGAGCAGCCCTTAACAACACTAACAAAAATAGCCGATGAACAAAATAAAACTAGTGAAAATGGACTGAATAATTCAAATAATGAGGAAAATCATTTGGAAGAAGAAAAACCTAAAACGCGTAGAGGTAGAAAAACCAAAAATTATACGGAAAACGCCTTAAAAGATGATCTCACAAATGAAAAACTTCCTAGCAAAAGAAGAAAAAAACTAAATTTATCACAGGACGGCAAAAAAGATACAATCAGTAATATAGAAAAAGGTATAGAATCGGATAAATTTATAGCAGAATGGAAACCAGAATTAGAATGCGATCTATGTGGTAAAACTAGTAAATCCTTTCAAGAATTACGACAGCATTTTAAAGAGCAGCATAAAACGAGAGGCTACATTAGATGTTGTGAGCGTAAATTTCACCGTCGTTATGTATTAGTGGATCATATTCGTTTGCATCTAAATCCTGAAATGCATAAATGTGATATTTGTGGTAAACCCAGTTCGAGTCAATACAATCTTAAGTTACACAAGAAAATTATGCACGAAAGTACAGAGCAATTCGAGTGTGAGGTGTGTCATAAAATGTTTAACCAAAAACCTACTTTGGAACGCCATATGTTGACGCATGTTACTGGCAGTAAAGATTTTGTTTGTCAAGAATGTGGCAAAGCCTATGTACTTGAAGTCCAGCTAAAATCTCACATCAAGACAGTACATAACGTAGATCGCGTCTGTGATCAATGTGGCAAAACTATACACGGTGTAGCTGCTCTAAAGAAACATCTTATGGAACATGCCGGTATTAAAAGACCAAAATTTCCTTGTGATCAATGTGGCACCGAACTGAATTCACGTAATTCCTTAAGACGTCATATTGAAGCATTCCATCATGATGGTACGACTATTTATGTGTGTGGTATTTGTGGTAAAGTTGCTACCAGTGAAACTGCTCTATTAACACACAAGAAAAATGTCCACGAAGAAGAACGAAAACATAAGTGCACCTACTGTGATAAGGCATTTAAGAGGCCTAAGGTATTGCGCGAACATATAGCGACACATACGGGTCAGGATCTGTATCAGTGTCCTCATTGTCCGCAAACATTTAAAGTTAGTGCCAATATGCATCATCATCGCAAGAAGGTACATCCGGTGGAATGGGAAGAGGGTAGAAAGAATCGTTTACAAGTACCAAAAGTTAATATTAATCAAGTTAAAAATCAAGTTGTCTTATAATTAGTTCGTGAATAAAATAGTACCGAAAAAGTATTTTAAAAAAGTAATGATAATTTTTTTAATAATTTAAACTTAAACATCTACTAATCTAAAAATTATCGAAATTTTCTAATAAAAAGAAAATTGTCCTATAAAAAAAGAAAATTTTTTAAAAAAAGAAAATTTATTGAAAATTTTTCAAATAAAACAACATTTATCGAAAATTTTTTATAATAATGAAAATTTATCGAAAATTCTCTAAGAAAAAAGAAATTTTATCAAAAAAATTCTAAGAAAACAGAAAATTTATTGTAAATTTTCTAATTAAAAAGAAAATTTATTGAAATTTTTCTAACAAAAAAATATATCGAAAATTATCTAGGGAATAAAAATTTATCGAAAATTTTTAATAAAAAAGAAAATTTATCGAAAATTTTCTATTTAAAATGAAAATTTATCGAAAATTTTGTAAGAAAATTTATTAAAATTTTCTGATAAAAAAGAAAATTTATTGAAAATCTTTGATCTATCTAAAATTTTCTATAAAATAAAATTTTATCAAAAATTTTCTATATAAATAAAGAATTTTATGGATTTTTTGTAGAATTGAGAATTAGGCCTTTTTAAGCGATTCTAGCGATTTTGGCAATTGGTGATTTTATGTATAATAAAGTCACCACCTCTGCCTGATTTAAGAGATGTCATCACTGACATCATAAAAAATTAATTGTTTACAAAAGTAATAAACAAAAAAAATTAAGAAAAATTGCAATTATACAAAACAATTACAATTCTCTAAAAAAAAATAAGTGTAATAAATAAAATTAAGAAATGTCTGCAGAAAAATCCTGCAGCTTATGTTGTAGTCCCTGCGATAAATATCAAAGTTTGCAAAATGAAACCGGTGGAAGTAATGAAATTTACGAAATTACAATTAAATACTTTGATCCGGTTGTAAGTTTTTATTTATAACTTAAAAGAAAAAGGAAATATTTTAATAAAAATAACTTATGTTTTTATAAAGTTAATTGCAGAAAATAAAGTCGGAAGCAATGACATCGATGAAATAAAGATACTTTGCCAGGAATGTTGGCTACACATCAAAGATTTCCATGAATTCCAGACCACTGTTGTACACACAAGAAATCTACTACAAGAGAAATGTAATATCATTCAATTAACGGTGGAAATTAAAGAGGAAGATGAGCTGGATAATGAGCCTTTATGTAGGGTTAAAGAAGATGTTATCTTTAAAAGTGATGACGCTGCTAATATCAAAAACGAAAAAGTTGAAAGTGATAATGACGACTTTGAAGATAATGCCATGTCCATAAATTATGATGATGATCATCATGTTGAAATTGCAGAATTTTTAATAAAATCCGATAGTTCTGAAGATAACGAAAGCAATGACTTGAAATCATCTGGCAAAAAGACAAAACAAACTAAATCCCGCAGAGGCCGAAAACCCAAACCAGTTACAGAAAAATCTGATAATCAAAATGATAAAAAAGGTAAGGAAGCCGATATGCTTATAGCTGAATGGAAACCAGAGTTGGAATGTGACTTGTGTGGTGTTTTTGAAACTGACTTTTTAAAATTACGCACACACTTCAAAACTACACACAATACTAGATGTTATATTAAATGCTGTGGGAAAAGGTTTTTTCGTCGTTATTTGCTGGTTGATCACATACGTTTCCATTTAGATCCCGATACACATAAATGTGATATTTGCGGCAAAACTAGTTCTAGTCTAACTAATCTTAAGCTACACAAGAAAACCATACACGAAAATACCGAACAATATGAATGTGAGGTGTGTCACAAATTGTTTACGCTGAAACCCTCCTTAAAACGTCATATGCTACAACATGAAACGGGTAGTAAAGATTTCGCTTGCCAAGAATGCGACAAGGCTTTTGTCTCGGAATTTCAATTGAAAGAACATACACGTGCCGTACATAATAATGACTGGATATGTGATCAGTGTGGCAAGACAATACATGGCAAAGCGGCACTTAAGCAACATTTATTGGAACATACTGGTTATAAGAAACCCAAATTTCCCTGTGATCAATGTGGTGCTGAACTTCATTCACGCAGCTCTCTAAAACGTCACTTTTTAGCATTACACGATAGTTCAAACGAATATGTTTGTAGCATATGTGGTAAAGTATCGGCCAGCAAGAGTACTCTCTTAGCTCATAAGAAAAATGTTCACGAAAAGGAACGTAAACACAAGTGTACATATTGTGATAAGGCATTTAAAGAACCTAAAGTATTGCGTGAACATATAGCTTCGCACACCGGTGTAGAATTGTATCAGTGTCCACATTGCCCTCAAAGATTTAAAGTTAGTTCGAATATGCATCATCATCGTAAGAGAGTACATCCTGTGGAATGGGCAGAGGGAAGAAAGAATCGTTTTATGAAACAAGTGGATAGCAGTGGAGTTAAGAATCAAGTTTTAATTTAATTTATCTATCTGTAAGTTGTAGTTAATTTAATTAAAATAAAATATCATTATTTTGAGTCATCCTACTCTTCATTTTGATTAAAAATATTGTTTTTCTGATCATAGATTGATCGTATTCTTTTCTAATTCATATTCCTTTATATCCCTTTGCTCGTTATGCATACAGAAATTCTATAGGAAAAATCTCCCTAAGATTATATGATATGCATTTGGTTGTTACGCCCTTTTGCATTTCAGGTGACATTATATTTTTGACTAGAAAATTCCTTTTAGCATATAGCCTGCCAACTCATTGCAACTATCCAAACCCCTTTTCCTGATACATCCGCATGTTCTTCTCTGCTCGAGTACCCATGTATGGACCAATTTCTTCAGCGACACCCAATGGCATGTATTGGGATTGTTGTTTATTAAACTTCCTTTTGATATGTCTTTTGCCAACTCTTTCCAATCATCAGATCACTTTTCCTGAAACATCCGCATGAAGTTCAGACGTCAGCTATACAAAACCTAGCACAATTAGGACTGGGTTTTTAGTCCGTTTCTCACCAGTGATATCCAATAGGAAGGGTTACAATAACACAATCCAGACTTACTTCTGAATAGGACAATAAATAAAATATGATATAATAGGTGTAACTATAGGTATTAGTTTATTGCACAAAGAGTCGAGGAGACAGATCTGATAAGATTTAGGAAAGACGACCTGGTAAATGTCAAACGCAATCACGCAAAAACTACAGGTTTTTATCAACAAGTGCCTTAGAACAACGACACAGACCTCTAGAACCTAAAATCCATCCATTGGTATTAAAGATTTTATGCTTTGTGTTGAACGACAGTTAGTAGGTTTAGCATGCCAAATGTCGTGTCTAATGTGCACTTTATGTCCTGTAATGAACCACCGGTTGGTGTTCGAGAAGAAATGGTTGAGTTAGTGCCTCAGAATCATATCGAGGGACTATATTCAATAGTCGCTATCTCTCATTTTTATGAAAATGAGATTTTGATGGCAAAATATTCAGCAAACTATCGCGCATCAGTGATATACATTTCAAAGAAAAAAAAATATTTTTTGGCAATTTTATAGCATTTTTTAAATTTCTCTATCTTAAAAAAAAGAAAAATTCTGAATGCAAAACTCTCTATCTTATCCAAAAATTGCTTCAAACTCGATCCCTTTGGATAATTTTCTGTTGCAAAACAAGTCTTCTTAATAATTTGGACATGCTGAACACAAATCCGTCAAAATATTTAAAATCGGTCTAATAGTTTTTGAGATATCGCTCATTATGATACTAATTAAATCAATTTTATTGTCGTGTTTAACCATATAACATTGATTTTGGACCAAAACATTATAATCTGTTGCTTTTTCAACAATTTGGTTTCTTTTCCTCCATTAAATTGTATAAAATATAATATTTATTGATTTTAATTCAAATAAAAATTTTATGTTTCCATGAAAAACTCTCTATCTGTTGGTTGAATGAACATTTTCGTAGAAAAATAAGCTCTATCTGATATAAATTTGTGAATAATTTTGTAAATAATGCAAAAATTAAAATTCTTTTTATATAATGGTTTAGAATATGGTCGTAAAAATATATTGTAAAAGAAAAAATTAAAAAATCTTCACGAACTAGCGAAATAAACAGTTTTTTTGCTCTCCTGAAAACTTGTATTATTTTAGATAGAGACTATTGAATATAGTCCCTCGATATGCAGAATACTCTTGCCTAACAATAACAACGACAAAGAGCTTCTCGTTCCCACAATCGGTTCTTCGCACCGGAACGACTCGGAGTTCAACGAACAACGACCAAGGATTGTCAACCCAGCCACGCTGCTACAACAACAAAGACCTCTGGAACCTGGAATCCATACATTGGTATTAAAGATTTGAAGCTTTGTGTTAGACGACAGTTAGGAGGTTTAGCACGCCAAATGTCGTGTCTAATACACACTTTATGTCCTAGAATGAACCACCGGTTGGTGTTCGAGAAGAAATGATTGAGTCCAGAGTTCATCGATTCACATCATTTTGGTTTATGTTAAGAGATTAAATCATCTAAAATCACGAATTCGGTAGAAGTTTTTAAAACTAGAAAAAGATAGAATCGAATATTCAGGTTCTCTTTCCCGCATCAGTTTAATAGAATTCACTGAAAAGTCTTCACTTTTTTGGTTTATTTAAGGTCTATACACAGACTAACGTCCATGCCAGTAGACCGTGCCAAAGTGAATTTGAAATTTTATAATGAGAAAACCATAAATGATTACTAAATTTTTGTAAGAATTACTTTAGATTCAGTTAAGAAAATAAATTTTGATTTATTACTGAATTTTAACCAAATCAAAATTATTTCCTATTTCCGCTAAATTTAGTACTAAGTATACACTTTGTTTACAACTGTGAGCACTAAGTACTTTAGTAGTAGCTAGACATACAACCACTCCAATAATAAAAAAGAGAGAAAATAAACAAGATTTTTTATACTCTTTACAGAGTAATTGCAAAAGTATTTGTGTGAAATGTCTGATGACAGTCGAATTATTGTTGTGTTTATTTTACTAAGCTCAGAGCTAAAAAACTAACTAAAATAACAAGTATTTAAATACGTTGTGTTGTTATTGCAAAAATACCACATACAAATAGATATTTATTAACATTCTTAATTAAAATTTTTATAAAATTATTAAATTAAAAGCTAAAAACACATTAACATAAAAGGGCTATAAAAAAAGAATTAGATTTCAAGTGTTTTGTTAAAAGTGTGGAAAAAAATTCCAAAAAAAATATAAACTAGATATTAAACAGTGTAAAAAAATGACGCTTAAATATAGTCATGCCATAGTGACCAGGTGCGTAATTAAATAAAAGTTTTTTAAATAAAAAATAATAAACATTTTGCTGTTTTTAACAAAATCTAAAAACTTTTTGGGTAAATTGTTATAATATTTGTTAAAATTTCCTTTAGTGTGTTTGTATCTCACTAAAAAATTGATTTTTTATGGTAGAGTTTGGCAAGAAGTTCAATTTTGACATACTTTATTTTGGTATTAAGTGAAGAAGCTCTAACTTTAGTTAGTATATGTACCAGGCTCCTAGTTAAACTAGGCCAATAGGGCGTTGTTGTTTATTTCCCTTTTTATAAGGATATTTATAGTTTTTGTTATTGTTATTAGATACACACATGGGGTGGCAATTTATACTTTTCCTTGTTTAATTCTATTTAAGTTCAAATTCAATTTCCTTTTTGCTTGTGTGTGTGTGTGCATGTTTATGTTGTCATTTTGTTTGATTTTCAAATTTTAGTTAGATTTTCTTATTGTAGTTTAATTCGCACTGAATTTTTTTATAGTTTGGGTGTGGTGTTTGTACGTTTTCTATCTTTTTTTATACATTAATTCATTCATTCAGTTTATATTTCACTTAATTTACAATAAACAAGTGTGTTTGGTGTGTAGAAGAAACATTAATATCATCATCACCTTTACTTGTTGTGGGAGTAGATAAGTGTTTAATAATGATAATGGCACTAGACATACTGTGTACAAAATTACAAAAGCAACAGAGTGATAACAAATGTTTGGTGCCTTTGGAATAACATAATAGACTGAACTAAAACTGAACTAAAACTGAACTAGAACTGAACTAGAACTGAAACTAGAACTGAACTAGAACTGAACTAGAACTGAACTAGAACTGAACTAGAACTGAACTAGAACTGAACTAGAACTGAACTAGAACTGAACTAGAACTGAACTAGAACTGAACTAGAACTGAACTAGAACTGAACTAGAACTGAACTAGAACTGAACTAGAACTGAACTAGAACTGAACTAGAACTGAACTAGAACTGAACTAGAACTGAACTAGAACTGAACTAGAACTGAACTAGAACTGAACTGAACTAGAACTGAACTAGAACTGAACTAGAACTGAACTAGAACTGAACTAGAACTGAACTAGAACTGAACTAGAACTGAACTAGAACTGAACTAGAACTGAACTAGAACTGAACTAGAACTGAACTAGAACTGAACTAGAACTGAACTAGAACTGAACTAGAACTGAACTAGAACTGAACTAGAACTGAACTAGAACTGAACTAGAACTGAACTAGAACTGAACTAGAACTGAACTAGAACTGAACTAGAACTGAACTAGAACTGAACTAGAACTGAACTAGAACTGAACTAGAACTGAACTAGAACTGAACTAGAACTGAACTAGAACTGAACTAGAACTGAACTAGAACTGAACTAGAACTGAACTAGAACTGAACTAGAACTGAACTAGAACTGAACTAGAACTGAACTAGAACTGAACTAGAACTGAACTAGAACTGAACTAGAACTGAACTAGAACTGAACTAGAACTGAACTAGAACTGAACTAGAACTGAACTAGAACTGAACTAGAACTGAACTAGAACTGAACTAGAACTGAACTAGAACTGAACTAGAACTGAACTAGAACTGAACTAGAACTGAACTAGAACTGAACTAGAACTGAACTAGAACTGAACTAGAACTGAACTAGAACTGAACTAGAACTGAACTAGAACTGAACTAGAACTGAACTAGAACTGAACTAGAACTGAACTAGAACTGAACTAGAACTGAACTAGAACTGAACTAGAACTGAACTAGAACTGAACTAGAACTGAACTAGAACTGAACTAGAACTGAACTAGAACTGAACTAGAACTGAACTAGAACTGAACTAGAACTGAACTAGAACTGAACTAGAACTGAACTAGAACTGAACTAGAACTGAACTAGAACTGAACTAAAACTGAACTAGAACTGAACTTGAACTGAACTAGAACTGAACTTGAACGGAATTAGAACTGAACTGTTACAACAAATGTTTGGGATCTTTGGAATAGATCATTAGATTTATAACTGTTGAAATAATCTGTAGACACCAAAATGCTTTTACAGAATCAGTAGAAGGTGACAATTTCAAACAAAAACCATTGGTCTTAATGTCAAAATAGAACGGGTACATGAAATAAAAAGTTTTTCCATACAAATTTATTTTTTTACTGCATTTAGTTTTAGAACGTAATGAAAAATATAGAGTAGTATTAATAATTATTTGTTACACTGTAGTAATGTATCTGTCTGTATGTGGTTCATTTCAAATTGTGTGCAAAAAGAAATCTATTTAACACATAGACAGTAATTGAATGCAGCAATTGTTGTTGCCTCAATAAGTAAATAATATTTGAATAAATAGACTTCAATAATAAAAGCTTTGTTAAAATTTTGAATTGAACTATTATTAGTATGTATAATTCTTTAGCTTAACCCTGCAGTAAATTTGTGCCAATTAATCTTCCAAACAAACTAGATCAGTGGCATTTAATATCGGTAAAAAAAAAAACAAAATTTCCAGAATATTTTTGACTCATTTTTATCTTAGTTTCAAAATTTCTTGTGACAATTCTTAATTTTAGTCAAAAATCAGATCTATCAAGTTCTATCATTTTCTAATTTCGAAAATCATCTTAAAATTTCACGAATTTTAAAGTATTTTATGTTACGTTTTAATTACTAATGTTTATATTCTTACATTCTTTTACTTTTAGAATCTCCGATTCTTTAAAAACAAAAAAAGACTTTAATCTTGAATTAGCTAAAGAACAGCACAAACAATATTGTAGTTTATTAAGAGAAATCGGTTTAGATGTCATTGAATTACCACCCGATGATGAATTACCAGAAAGTGTCTTCGTGGAAACGTCAGCGGTGATATGTAATGGTGTGGCTTTAATAGGAAAGTCTGATAATCCCATGAGACAAAAAGAAGTAAGTTAATAATTTAAAGAAATATATGTATGTATATTTGTTTATTAACAAAACAAATATTTTAAAATCTTTTCTTTTTCAATTTCCAGGCCAATAGTATGGCGATAATATTAAAAAAAGAATTAGATATTCCAGTAGAAGTGATAGACAATCCCAATGCACAATTAGATGGTGGTGATGTCTTATTTACCGGTATAGAATAATTAATGAATTTAAAAATGTTTAATCTTTAATACCGCTAAAATCTTTCACTTTCAGGCAGAGAATTCTTTGTGGGCATTTCCGAATACACAAATGAAGATGGCGCTAGAGCAGTGGCTATGACATTTCCCGAATATCCAGTAACGCCTATAAAGGTAAAAGGAAACTCGATCTATTACCAATAATTGTTAATAACTATGACAATCGGAATGTTCTATAAATCTTGACAAAGAGGGCGAGAATTAGACAGAACTAGATTAGAACAGAACCAAAATAGATTCAGAACAGAACCAGAATAGATTCAGAACAGAATCAGAACAGAATCAGAACAGAACAGAAAGAACAGAACAGAACCAGAACAGAACCAGAACAGAACCAGAACAGAACCAGAACAGAACCAGAACAGAACCAGAACAGAACCAGAACAGAACCAGAACAGAACCAGAACAGAACCAGAACAGAACCAGAACAGAACCAGAACAGAACCAGAACAGAACCAGAACAGAACCAGAACAGAACCAGAACAGAACCAGAACAGAACCAGAACAGAACCAGAACAGAACCAGAACAGAACGAGAACACAACTAGAATTGAACTAGAACCAGAGCAATTCAATAATTTTTTTAATCATAATACTATCATCCACTATCATCCTCAATATAGGTTGGTGGTCCAAAATGTCTTAAATACTATGTCACCATGGCTGGCCCAGATGTTTTATGCGTTAGCAATAGTAAAATATGTGTGGAAATTTTAAAACGTATGGAGCGAGAAGCTAGTTTTAAATATCAAAAAATCACGCTACCCGAAGAACATGCAGCCAATATGTTATACATCAATGGCACTTTAGTACACAGATCACCTACTGAAATTCCAGAATCGCACAAAGTATGAACAATTGCTTTCCTCTTAAAAAAGTATGTTATTAACATGATATTTCTATCATAATTTCAGATTATTAAAGAAAAAATAGACATTCCTACGCGCAACATTAATATTAGTGAATTTTGCCAATTTTCTTTGGGTTTAAGCTCTTCCTGTCTTCTACTCAGACGTTGGAAATCTATACGCAGCATTTAGATTATATAAAAAATATTTTTTTGAAAAAAAGAAAAAAACAAATCAAAGATAAACAAAATTTTAAAGGCAATATTAATTCTGGTTAACAAAATTTTCTATCTTCCGTAGTTCTAAAATAATGTAGCTAAATTAAAATTTATTATTATTGCAATATAAACAATTATACATAATTATATACATACATAAAAATAATACAAAATTTCTATCAATATACGTTTTTGTTATACATATTTAAAATATTATTAATATAATAGTAGTTATAACTACAATATACATAAAGTTATTTAATTTAAATAAAATACATAAATATTTACAATGTAAATGTTGTAATATACAAAAACATTAAGAATATTGGGAAGTTTTTTATTTCTATTTTGTAAGGTGTAAGATGAAAATGTTTTAAAAAAATGAACTAAGTTTAATAAATGTTAAATTTTCATTAAACCAATTTTTCTATTAAAATCTATTTTTTTCACTATAACTCGATTTTTGCACTAACTAACTAACTAACTAACTAACTAACTAACTAACTAACTAACTAACTAACTAACTAACTAACTAACTAACTAACTAACTAACTAACTAACTAACTAACTAACTAACTAACTACTAACTAACTAACTACTAACTAACTAACTAACTAACTAACTAACTAACTAACTAACTAACTAACTAACTAACTAACTAACTAACTAACTAACTAACTAACTAACTAACTAACTAACTAACTAACTAACTAACTAACTAACTAACTAACTAACTAACTAACTAACTAACTAACTAACTAACTAACTAACTAACTAACTAACTAACTAACTAACTAACTAACTAACTAACTAACTAACTAACTAACTAACTAACTAACTAACTAACTAACTAACTAACGAACTAACTAACTAACTAACTAACGAACTAACTAACTAACTAACTAACTAACTAACTAACTAACTAACTAACTAACTATCTAACTAACTAACTAACTACCTAACTAACTAACTAACTAACTAACTAACTAACTAACTAACTATCTAACTAACTAACTAACTAACTAACTAACTAACTAACTAACTAACTAACTAACTAACTAACTAACTAACTAACTAACTAACTCACTAATATTAAAAATAGTTTTAATGAAAATTAATTTCAAATTTTGATGGATTGTAGACCAATTACTTTTCGACTTTCATTGAGAATATTTCCGAGACCCTAAAAGATCGGCAATAGTTTCTTCTGTCTATATTTTCTTTTGAATCTAACGGATTATTCAGTTTCTTTAACACATATGGTATATTTTTCTCCATTCAACATTTTTTTTAAATACTTGTCTCATGATTAAAAACGTAATTAAAAAAATATACATACGCATTATTTTTTAAAAACGCGATTAGGGGGCAATACATACAATAACAAGAAAACATTAAAAATATTTTTTAGACAAGTTTTTTGTGCTCTTTCTTTAATCATAATAAGAGAATAATTTTAACTAAGAGAATAAAAAAGTCATAATGAAAATTCCAGTAGTGGTAGGTACATTTCCTTATCTATTAATGAAATTTATTTCGAAAAGTACTATTTGAAAAAAACATAAAAATTCATCCCAAATTAAATTTCATTGGCAAGTTGTGGTTTACACGCCTTAATATTCATTTAAATCCATTATATTTAAATAGCAATGTTTTGTAATCTTCATTATAAATAAAAAATTATCTACAAAAGTATCTTTAACACAAAAAATTACTATTAAAAAGTACCTAAAGTAATCATCTTTATCAACAACAAATGTACCTTAAACTCTTTCCCCAGACATAAACAAAAACAAACATATGAATTAAATGAAACAACTAAAAAAAATATACACACATTGTAAATAATAAAGAGATACACATGTGCTAACTGGAATCAGTACAGATTCAACGATCGTCTAGAACGTTTTATATTGAAAAGTGCTCTACAAGAGTTAAGTTGAAAAACACGTGTATTTTTTTTTTTAATAATTTAAATAAAATAAATAACAAATTAACACACCATGGCCACCAGCAGTAAGTTAATTTTTTCCTTTTAATCTTGGAAAGCAAAATTTGAAAAAAAAACAAAACTTCTTACAGTTGAAGGTTATAAATTGGGCAAAGTTATTATTGAGGGTAAAACCAAACAGGTTTATGATTTACCCGAACATCCCGGTTTATGTTTGCTGTTGAGCAAGGATCGTATTACAGCTGGTGATGGTGTTAAGGCTCATGATTTGCAGGGCAAATCTGAAATTTCAAATACCACAAATGGTTTAGTTTTTCAGATTTTAAATGAAGCCGGTAAGTAGAGTAAAGAAAACTTATAAAAAGTTAATGTGTTTATTACTTAACTGATTAATTTGTTTTTATTTTTATGCATTTTGTTTGTAGGTATTAACACAGCCTACGTTAAACCAGCTGGACCCAAGGCTTTCATTGCTAAAAAATGTGAAATGGTTCCCATTGAGTGGGTTACCAGACGTTTGGCTACTGGTTCATTTTTAAAACGTAACCCAGGTGTACCAGAAGGTTATCGGTAAGTTTTAATAATGTGTGTGTCTGTCTTATTCATTCAATCGTATGTTTATCTGTGTGACAAACATATTGTACAAAATGGAAAATTTTAGTTTTGAGTAACTACATCAAGTAAAAGATTTAAGTTGTGTGTAAAAATAGTGAGAGATTTGGAAATGTTTTAGTGACTACAAATTATCTGAAAGCAAAAAGCTAAATATCCACTTATTCCTTAAATTTCCTTAAAAAGTAATTAATAGATACGAACTATCATAAGGCTGGGTCGCTTGTCTTATATTACTCTAATATGGGTTCCTGCGCATAGGGAATACTGATCAACTCCCTTGGGTTCTATCAAAAGTAGTATCCTCGGGTTCTTTAACCAAAAAGTTTAAAATATATGGAATAATCTGTACACATGTAGAGGGGCCAAGTTAATGTGCTCTTCTTTCAATGAGAAACACACTAGGCAGCTTATAACCCGAAATAGACGGGAGATAGCTGGCAGTAATAATACTGTCGCAATTGCAAAGACAGTTATGAGGAAGAAACAGTTTTTCATCTTATCTGCGAATGACCTGCTCTAGCCGCCAAGAGAAACAGATTCCTTTGGCAATTACTTCATATCCTTGGTGAGTTATTTGGGCCAAAACCTGCTCAAATATCTCACTGCTATCGACTGGATATAATACTGTATAATACTATAATGGAGTGGTCCTGTCAAAACTGAGTCCTTTCGATTCTACTTAACTGTTTGCGCGCAAAAACTACGGCGTTAACGAACCCAACCACCTAAGATTGACGTTCCCACGACAATCGTTTCTTCGCACCGGAACGATTCGCTGCTCCAACAACAACCTAAGATTCAAGCTTTGTGAAATTATCATATTAAAAAGGATTTGAACTTAAAGTCTTTCTTAAATAGCGAAAGTTTGAGAATGATTTGAAAAAAAGGAAAATTTACTTCTCAATAGATTGTGAGGGTCTCAATTTCAAAGATACCCCACGTTAGAAGTTCATATCTAAACATTTTTTGAACATAAGTTTGAATTTTCGAAAATATATCATAAAGTTTATATTCCGAAACTATACTAAACAAGTTTAAAATTCACAACAATTTCAAGTTCAAAATTGTTAAATGTATCAAATTGTTCTCATTTTCGAACATAAGTTTGAATTTCAGAAAATTTAAAAAAATATTGTCTCAAATAAAACTAAAATAATATTTTTCTGAATCCTTATGATTTCTAGATTATTTTAACAGATTTATAAAGTTTTCGAACACAAGTTCGAATTGTCGAAAATATCGTGAAAGAGCTTTATATTCCCTTACAATATTTAAAATTCATAAAAACTTTTAAAATAATTTTTAAAATTTTAAAATTCAAAATTGGAAAATGTAAAAAATTTTCGAACATAAGTTCGAGTTTTCGAAAACACTAAAATTTTTTAATTATTTGCAAAAATGCTGAGTTTGAAATTGGTCTCAAATTAAACGAAAATTTTTTTATAATTTCTTATAAATAAAAGATTATTTAACCTTTAAAAATTTTTCAAACATAAGTTCGAATTTTTTAAAATACAATAATTTTTTTTTAAATTAATAAAATAATCTCTAGATTCTGGAGATTTCTTAATAATTATATAAATATGTAATTGTATATTCAAAAATTATTTAAAACTATGAAATCCCTGCCAGAATCTGAAGACTGCGACAACACTACAGGCCTCACATAAGTGTTGGCCATAAGGACTTTGATATTTTCCTGGACTGGAACCTATAATAGAGACATATGGGAGCTTTCCCTCTTCTATCCCTATCATATATGTCAAGGTTCGAACCTAGTAAAGCTAATTCGTCGGCAACCTCTTTAACATGCACATTTCAGTGCCCCTGCACCCAACACAGTCTAACAGTAAACAGTCTCATAATGTCCCTAAGAGCATTTCTACAATCTTTCTGCCAATGCTCTAAGAGCAGCTTGACTATCGACATAATTTGTCACAACCGACACTAGATCGATATGATTCTGGAGAGGGAATATTTTTAAGATACGCTAAAAAAATCGAAATTAAATTCAAACTAAAGTTCAATAGAAACAGAATTTTGTGAAAATTCTTAATTGGTTTTCTAAAATCTCAAAATTACTTCAAAACTTTAGATTTTGAATAATTGTTTTAGAAACTATTTCCGATTTCAGCTTTTAAACACATTTCCATCAGAATTCATTATTTTTTCTAAATTTACTTATTTAAAAACATTGTAAATTTGCCTAAACAAATATTTATTTGTTTTTTATTAAACAAAAAACAAAAACAACTATTAAAAATTCCTGATAAGATTTAATAAAATTATCAATTTTCCTGACCTTTTGCAATATTTACCCCCAATTGGTGAATTGCTAAAAACATTTAAATGAGAAAAACAACAATTATGACGATGATGAAATAATTTAATAAACATGTAAAAAATAAAGTAAATAAACTCATCAATCAA